GGGTATGATTTTACTGATTTTATGGAATTTCGGTATCGTTTACAGATGAGCAGGTAGTCAATTTGGTTTCTGATGACGTTATGTTGGTTGTCTGCTGGAGATTTCCATGTATAGAGTCTCCTGGACGGCAGATCATAATAAGTATTCGCGACAATAAAATCGGTCTCTTGACAAAATTGAGCTAATCTGTCTCCCCTCTCTCTATTATTTTGCTAGTACGAGCTTATTCGGCGTGTTTTCCGGAAATAGCTCACCAGCTTAAAAAGATAATTGGACGAGCAATATTGACGGCAACAAATACAGATGTCGATGATCTGAATGAGACCATTCTGTCATTGAGGCAACGATCGTTAAGAAAAATACAAATCAGAGGGTGTCTTGACCCCGCGTATACCGATGATTTCACTTTTTTGGTTTTTTTTTCTGCTAATTTTTTAGACATATTATATAATTCTAAGGCAAAGTGCGCCGGGTCTGCTAGTTATTAGTTATGCTATATAATTCTACCTATATTCTTTCGTATGTTCTGCTGTCTTAACGACTCCTTCATTTTGAAATCATTGAAAATTATGATTTCGAAACCTTCCTTTAGACAATAATGATGATACAGATATTGAATCTGACTTGGAAGAGAACGTTGTGGATTTATTTTCCACCTGAAAATACCAATTCCAATTCCAAATGAAAAAAGAAGACCACCTGAATTAGAAGATCACAATGTAACATTTTTTTTTATTATTAATATATTAAATTATTTTTAATTCCTTTTACCCCCGTGCGATACGCCGATGATTAGGAATCCCCGTGTTTACGATAGGAAAATAATATTGTAGATACCAAGCTAAAATGGAATTCCCTAATTAAGAAAGGTTTTTAATCCTTCCGTCATAATATTCATTATGAAAAGAGTATAATGCTTTTTGGTATTCGGTTTCTTTTCATAAATTGGTAATTTTCGTCGAAGGCCCATATCTTTTGACAATAACTTAATCCCATGTATTGTCTGTTTCTTATGTCCAATTGTTAATACCGATTATTTTACCTCAAACTTTCCAATAGTCGTTAAGGCCTTACCTTCTGAGAAACACCTACAACTGTCCTATCATTCTTGAGTGGGGGAATGTTTTCTTCTTCCTTTTTCAGGGACAGTTGGTGAAATTTTTAGTGGAACCAATTTACTTGTTGGTGGGCAGTTGTTGAGTGAGATAATATCTCGTGAGACTTCTAGGTGGGCTCTTGTTGAGTGAAGTGATATCTCGTGATGCGCTTTGCTCACGCTATTTCTTATCTTATCGTTGCTTTGAATTATTTTCTAAGTGTGTGTATACTTCATATTTAAGTTTTCTTTCCTTAGACTATATTAAATTATATATAGTTCTACACTACCTTTAATGGTTATTAAATTCAGTGTTTAGTACCAGAAAAGTATTAAATTCAATGAATTAAGATGCCTTCGTCAAGATTTTTTGTAAGTAATCTTTATCTACAATTATCTGGGCGAGTAATATGGTATGGTACCATATCACCTGCCATTATCTGGACGTATCATCTATATCTTCACCTGTAGATTGCCGATTTTTGAATGTAATTGAACCATTCAAGAAATTTCTATAAATATTACCTATGAACATACAAGTCTCAGTTTTTTATTGAATAATAGTGCGAGATAGTTAATTGACTTAACCAAGTGCGGTTTGGTTTATGTTTTTATCCTTGTAACCTTTTTGTTTTTTTTTGTAAATTAAGGGTTAAGTAATTTTTGCTATCTTTTGTATTTCCTATAATTTTTGTTCATTATCTTTCCTATGATATATTATCTCGAGATACGCCAAACTATATTTGTATATGATTGCCTTATATATCTTGGTAAAGGTATTTTTTTATTACATTATAGCTTAATTTTATACATATATAACACCATTTCATAGTTGTGTATTTTTATTACCTGGGTTGCATTTAGCAGCATCATAATTTTGTGTTTAATATATTGTTATTGTTTTACGCATGTATTTTATTTGTCGGCTCCTAACAAGTTCCCTGATAAAATAATAGCTCTGAACAATTACTATCTTTAAATATTACTATGCTTTTGAACTGTAGAAAGATCAGGCTGATTAAGTTTCGTAGGTAAGTAAGTGTAATACTTAATATATTTATTATTTGTTTATATATTGCGTTGACCAGATTTATTTGATAATTTACTGTTGGTATCTTTCCTTGGGTTTGATCTCTGAACCTAAATATCTTTTCTTATCTCTTTTCTTTTCTAAGGTTTTCTTAATTTTCTCCTTAACCCCAAAAAATTGAGTGGCGCCCTGTTTCTATCTTCTCTTATCTTTGGTAATTTTACCCATCTATCTTTTTGTTTATTTCTGTATATTTTCTAATATCTCTTATCCTATCTTTACCTATTCCTTCCGTTGGATCCATTCCCGGTTCCAAAAGCTAGTTTCGAACCCACGACTCGCTCTTCACCAACCATCTGGCTGCCGTCCGCAGTGTTTCCATTGGTTATCTTTCTAGCATCACCCAAAAAAGATTTCCGAGGTTACAACCATTCTGAAGAGAAATTGCAGTTCGCTGAAGGAGAACATACAGAAATTCAAGGTCCACCATCCAGAGAGGCCAGTTTGGAAAAAATGTGGAAGAAAGAGGAGAGAGATGTTAAAATACCAGATTATAATTTAGCTGAAAATGATTGGGAATTAAACTTTGGCGAATGCCAAACCTCTTTAGATATATATTTTTTTAATTATTGGGAGATTCCATAGACCATTTCGTTTTTCAGACTAATGTATACGCAACCCAAAAAGGAAAAAAATTTGAAAATGAGGAATAATGAATTGGTAATATTTGTAGGTCTGTATTTTTTGTGGGGTACCATATCTTGCCAGTATCGAAAGTTATTGGTCCACTTCCCCTGATCTTCAAATACCACTTGTGGCAAAAACTATGACAAGAAAGAGATTTAAAGACTTTCTCTCTAATTTGCACTTAAACGACAACTCAATGATACCAAAGGACAATAAAGACAAATTGTATAAAGTAAGACCTCTGACAAAGATATTGAATAAACAATTTGAAAATTTATATACTGGTACAAGAACATTATGCGTAGACGAATTCATTGTTCAGTTCAAAGGTCGTTCGTCCATAAAGCAGTTTAATCCATGAAACCCATAAAAAGGGGATTCAAGTTATGGTGTCTTTCTGATACGAAAGAATTTATAAAAAAAATCAAATTGATATATATATATATATATATATATATATATATATATATATATATAATATATATATATATATCAAGGCAAAAACGAGACACTTTAGATAATAAATATGAAGAATATCAACTCGGCGAACGAGTTGTTTTACAAATAACTGAAGATGAATGAGAAAAGCATAGAATTTGTATAGTTTTGATAACTTTTTTACTACTGTAAAATTACTGGGAAAATTACAAGCTGAAAAACATTAGGATGTGGTACAATACGTGTGATACAATAGTAGAAAAGGTATCCCAAAAAGCTTAATAAATGATAAAAATGTGAAAAGATGAGACTTTGATTACAGGGTCTCAAATACAAATATTATATTTTTCAAATGGAAAAACAACAAAGTGGTAAACTTGGCATCAAATTGCCATGGAACTGACTCTACCAGTGTCTCTCGAAAATTCAAAGATGAGAAGACCGTTCCAGTTTCGGCTCCACAAGTTAAAATAAATGATAATAATTCGTACATGGGTGGAGTAGAAATAAAACGTTTAAAACTTTTTTTTCAAATATACCAGTACGTTTTTTAGAAGAACCAAACTTCTGCTATAAACTACACCCAAAACATATTTTTGGATGCGTTTCCCGTGACGTGCGATCGCTTGTTGTAATGTAAAACGTTAAATTCTGCGTTTTTTGTTCATATTTTAAATGCCTCATATTTGTTGCCAATAATTAAAATTTATTGTCATAGGTTGTAAAGATTGATCTCTAGAGATGAAAATTTTACTACGACTGGACAATGAAAGTGATCAATTTTATTTCTCACGAGAATCATAAAAAATGGAGAAGGTCGCGCTACATTTATTTATTTAGCGCCTTTATAAAAACTGAGTTTATTGTCGGCAAAATACGCAAACTGAATACGAAAGCTGCAAACTTTATCTTTAAAACGCATATTGATTTTTGTCGATAGGACATTTGGATCAAAAGATATCGAATGTTTATATCAGCATCGAGCTGATACAAATTTGATTGAACATTGATTTCGCGCGAGTAATTGACATTTATAATCGACTGTCGCTTCAAGCGTTGTTTCTGAAAGGACGGTTTATTCTACATAAAAAGTGCTAATAAATATTTGTGTATAAAATTATCTCAGCTACATTTTTTTTTAACATTTTTTTCTGTGGCGTGCAGATTCTAAATAAATCGATTTTTTGCGGTTTTACTCCCCTACCAGTGGGGGTTTTAGGGGAAAGGGGTCCCAAAATAAATTATTTTGCCAAATTTAGCTTGTTCGTATGATTTTTAAGGGTCAATTCTCTAACGACTGAATTACTCAGCTTTATTTATTTTGATTTCCAGACTTCGATGGTTAGACTACACTGATATAATAGATTAATGCATCGACGTTGGGCCAATCCAAGCCTGTATATAATTTGTAAATACGTATCCTATTTAGATAAGTCAACTTAATTACAAGTATTGATGGCAAATGCAATGCTTAATGACAAAGCAAATATTAAAATCCCATTAAAACCAGACCGCACTTGTACCGGTTTTTTGAAGAAAAATCAATGAACTTTTGTGGGTTTTAGTCAAAACGTTGCGTTGTGAAATACCAGATGTGCTAATTGCATATTTTATGTTTACCGAAATAAAGTTTAATAATAGCTTTAATGGTTCCTTGATTGTAGAGAAATAGGTTATCTGCTTTTTTTGTAATTAAACCTTATATATGCATTTGTTTTGTATGCATCAGTCTATTACATTTTTATAATTTTATGCTAATAATTGTGTCAACACCTACAAAACAAAAAACAATATTATACAATCAAAGTGTTTTGTAAATGTATTTCTTCATTTGCATATTAAATATAAAGTAGCTCTTTTATGTTTATTATTTACATTCTAGGTTAATTATAATATAACAGAAAAAGGAAAATCCACTCAATGTAATTAGGTCTCAAGGACTCCAAGGTATACCAATAATTGAAGCGTGCATTTCCATAACGTAGTAAGTGCCAAATTATAAATTTTTCAGGAGGAGTAAAAAACAGTTTTTTATCGAACATGTTTATTTCTTATAATGTAACATACTTTTTTAGAGTAGTAGATTAGTTTAAAGGTATTAGATAATACAAACATACCGCAAAGGAACAATAAACAAAGCTTACTTAAAAAAAAAATTCAAAAATCTGTCTAAGGTCAAAACGTTGTAAGTGCCATCAGGTTTGCAAGTCAAAACGTTTTAAGTGCCAGATTTTTAACCGTTGTTTCCTACAGTAGAAACTTGCCCTGGTTGACCTAATTTTTCTTTAAAATACTTCTTGGCATCATCGTGAAGATAAGGAGCATTTTTTCAATATCTGTTCTTTTTTTCTCAGGGATACCAAAGTGAGTTCTAGTTTTTTGAAGGTCTATGATTTTAAAGTCTTTTAATGTAACTCCAGATTTGAGTACATTGGTCTCACTCCATCCAGCGAGCTCACTATGTCCTTTAGCCACCATCACCGTACCAAATTTCTCTCTTGTAAGACGAAGCTGCGTAGCTGTTGAAATTCCTAACTTCTTTGTGTTCAGTTTATCACATGCAACGGTTTTGAAATCTAAAAGTCCTTAACCACCATGCACGAGAATGGATTTTTCTGGGCCGCACTAGTAATGATGTTAACAACATTCATCAATGTATAAGCCTTAAACACTTTTTTCGTTTTTCTATGATTGCGAAATCTCTGTCGCAATTAAGGAAAGTGTGTCCTTTTACAGGAAATTTATGAATAATTTCCTCAAAAACGTTATTTGCTAGTATGGTCAAATACATGGCGATCATGAACTGATTTTTATTTTGACCCCACAATTATCCGACCACAAAATAAGCTTTTTCTTTCCGTGATTGCCAATTTCCTTAGTAAGGTAAGTATATAAACAGGAGCTAATTTCCAAGGCACCCCTTCCCCCAAAGTCCTCAGTCCATAAACACATGAATCTCTTTCCTGTGATGGAATCGTGAATTCCTAAGTTACACACTGCAAGCTGTTGTGAATACTACATTTCGGAGTGAGTTAATTGGGGAATGTACATTTGCTGCTGCATATCGAATGAAATAACATAGCAATTACTTGTACATGCATTTTTGGTCTCAGTTGACATTGCTTTTGTAGCAGCCTCTGCTCTCCGATGGTGAAGCTCCTGTTCTGTTACAGCAGCTTTATCTCCTGATTTTATTTGAACAGCCAAACTATCACATGTAGAGCATGTATCTACTTTAGGCCATGCAAAAAAAAGTTAAATTTTGATATAAAAAATTTCATTATACCATTGTCTAGTCACTGGTGGTTTGTTAGGCGGCTGATAATCCGCACAATATTTCTCTAAAAATGCACGGTACATTCTACTTACGTTTAAATCCGGTGACAAGAAGAGCTTATCCGGGGTATTCGCCCTTGCGTAGTGGCTCTCAATTTTTGGAAAACTTTCGATATGCTCTCTAATCTTGTTAGTCCAGAAAGTCTTGAAAATATTTTGTCGAGCACCTCCTCGTTTTTCTGACATATCCATTTTACCATCAAGAATTTTTTCTCCCAAAAGTTGCACTCTTCTTGGAGTTACGGCAAACCTACTACAAAATGTTTTGAGGCAAACCCTTATTTCAGATCCTCCAGGCAAAAGTAAATGGTAGGTGAAAGAGAGCTTTCTCCTACTTTCACTGGGATGTTCGTACTGACCATGACGTCTCCTTTTGATTAATTGGGGATGAATAAACCTTTGTAGGTAACTTTGCTGCTTACTATAATCAGCCATTTCATAGAAATGATTGTACAACTCAACAAGGTATTCCAGTCTTATGGATCTACATGCTAGTGGACACTTGCATTTTACCTAAAACAACTTTGGATTATTTAGATAGATTTAAACAAAAAAAAATATTTATGTTTTAACGTCTATTTAGATAGGTATCTCTTTAAACCATACTTACATCAGGAGGTGGCATTTTCTTTGTAACGGTCTTTTTATTGACTAGAGAAACATATTCTTCGCCAGAATTTCTCATTTTCTTGGTTTTATTTTTTTTTTACAACTATCAACAACTCTTCTTTTCTTTTTGGACCGTTTTTCTGTAGTTTCATCCATATTCGTTCCAAATACTTATGTTTAAACCCAACCCAACACGTCCAAACAAAAATAATTTAGTAACTGATGCGCCACTCTACATTTAACAGAATTGCACTACGATACTTACAACGTTATGACTTGCACCGCTACTTTATCCCCACTTTTCACGCCGTCGCTAGCCATATCGACATGAAATAAATTTTAGGCGATGGAACATGGCACTTGCAACTCATTTACTGATTTAACTTAAAAAAAAAACAAATGAGGCATATTGGCACTTGAAACGTTATGGAAATGCACGCTTCAATTACTCGTGACCGTCGGATTTCTGATGATGTTCGACTACGATGCTTTATACCTTTCAGAGTACTCAAAAATGAAATATGGAGACTAAAATATGTGAAAACTGTGGGGTTTCCTGGGGAAATTTGGGTGAAAATTAAATTTAGTTTGGTTTTTGGTGTGAAGAAAATCTTTTTTTGTAAAATGTTATACCATTCTCCCGTCTCCCTTATACCATTTTACGAATCGATAGAGGAGTATTGATTCTAACTACACGTAAATTTTACGTACTCACTGATGTAGGTCTGGTATTTTCTTTTTATTTCAAATATAATTAAAACAAAATAGTTTAATTTTAAGAAAAGTTTATTTAGCAATGATAAATGAAAAAACATTGAAATATTATAATCTAAACATAAACAACATAAAATAGATATTTTTCGCACAGAATAGAATCTTGTAATAAGTACACGATAAACATGTGCATATAATAACCATTACAATTATAGAAACGATAACGTTCTATTGATGTACACATTCCATACAAATTTTTATTTGAAGCTCTCCACACAAGGTACTCCCACACTTGTAACATTTATTTTCATTGTTGTCATTCGTTTCTTTGCTGTAGGACATAAACTACATTAAGCCCGTTTTCCTTTTCCTTGGAAACCTCGACGGTCTTCAGCAACAGCCGTTAAATTTAAAAGAATGGAAAGACTCTTTTTGAGACTTCTTGATAAAGTTGGTAGTATTTGGAGAATATGTTGCCATGGCTTCGTTAACTGTTCGTAAAGTTTTTAAAACGGAATAATGGCTTCTCTTTGCTTTTAGTTGCATTGTGATTGTAGATTACAAGAGCGTTTACTTCTGCAATATTTTTCATATTGTAAAATATGCATAGCGGCCACCTTCTAGTTTTCCTATTACAGTTGATTTACAAATGGTCCGAGACATTTCGTCAAACGTATCTACAGCCCGTTTAGTTGAATTATATGTATGGATTATTTAGGGTTTTGTTGTTCTTGATTATTGTTTAGTAAAAAAAATGCATAGTTAAAAGTAGAAGAACTGTCTTCTTTTGCTTAGGTTTATATGATAATGAAGTCATGTTTTCATCGTACACAAACATACTTGAACCCAACTTCCAAGTTTTTATGTAGCAATTCAGGAGGTGTTTCTCCTTTATTTTTCCTGAGTGTTTCAATCACTGTCAGATTGTCAGAGGGAGACAATAATTTATTCGCAAGAGGGATGCTGGAAAACCAGTTGTCCACTATCACATTACGTCTACTTCCATGTTAAGGTCTCGTCAAGCTTGTGACAGAATGTTCTGCTAAAGAAATGCCGGTGGTTACAGTAGATTTACCCAGATACGGCGTTGCATTTATTACATATTTCGTAGCCATATCGAAAACCATAAGTATTTTTATGCCGTATTTACTAGGTTTGTTTGACACATTTTGAAATAGCTTTATAATTTTTGACACAGTTTCCAATAAACAAATTCCAAATTTTAGATATTAGAGCAAAAACTATATTCTTTTTTTACGTTTTTCTCTTCTTAAGAAGTTATCAAATCATAAAGAATTGATCAAAAAGTGAAACCTTTTTTTACACATCGTTGATTTATTGATTTATATCTATGGCCACAATAAGTGCCATCAAAGAAAACATCAGCTGAGAGGTGATTTTTTTTTTAAAGCTGCAGATAAAAATACAAGCCTAACAGTACTTTCAGTTTAGGCAATGTTGTTTCTAAAACAGTAGCTTTTTTGTCTGGTACTTCTCTCGTAACTCTGCAAGTTTTCATTTGTACGTAGCACAACTTCATCCAGAATCTGATCAGTGAACCTGGACTTAATTAGTGGAGCAACTTACTACAATTGTAACTGTTTTTCTTACTAAATACTGTTTATCCCATATTATAACAGACGATTTTGCTACCATACAGTAATATGTATATGTTAATGCTGATGGCAGCTGCGTAATTTTAATTTTTTTTTACGAGAGCACGTATTTATTGTTCCTTTATGAATTTTTGCTGGTGTGTCCGCCCAGGTGTTAGCTAGTGTTGTAAAGACATTTTCTTCGTTCTGTGCAGGATCATAGTCTCTATCTTCAATGCTATCGTCGCTGTTGCAAATGGATTTTCTAACTCCTCTAGATCATCTTCTGTATCACTTAAATCACTAAAGTCACTTTTATTTACAATTTCCTTTAATTCTTTTTCAGTAAGAGGACGCTTTGATATAACATTTGATTTTGCGGAGATCTTATGTATACATTAATAATAACAACACGTCACGCCTATGTTCAGGATTTTTACGAGGATACTAACCACGTGTGTCTTTTATGTACAGAGTGTTATAAATGCTACTGTCAAAGCCTAACCCAAACTGAAATCA